TTTCTTTTCATGTGATGCAACAAAATTATTCTGGTTAAAGTTCCTCCAGTGTTTCAGAGATGCATTAGTAATGAGGGAAGTGCCAACTCTTGGTGAAATTTTATTTGGGGAAGTGACTCTGTCTAGGTTGCACAACCACTTACTGCTTCTGGCTAAAAGACACATTTATCTTATGAAAATGAGAAACCTAAAACCCCACTTTCCAATTTTTCTAAACCAAGTCAAGTATAACTATCATCTTGAATACAACATTGCTGTGAACAAGGGCAAAATTGAAACACACTGTAATAAGTGGATTAAAATCCACCAAATTGTTATGTCTTGAATGCACTTGTATATTAGTCTGTATATGTACGCAGTGTATTCTGCTTATTGTATGTATTATGAATGATTACCAATAAAAACTTATAAATATAAAAAAAAATCTGCATATTAATTACCTAATTTGCATAATGATCAGCAAATTTTCGGCTTTCCACTGATATTTCAACTACTAATCATTACATTTCATTGAAACTTGGTACCTAGATATCACGGGACACTGCACAGACTTGGTAGTTTTTAGGGTAATATCAGAACATATTTTAATTACCTAATTTGCAAAATAAATTAATTTTCAGCTTTTGATATTTCAAGTAGTAAGCATACATTTCAGTGAAACATGGTAATAGATACTCAAGGACTATGCAGAGATCGATTGTTTTGGTATGAATATTTGTGCATAATAATCACCTAATTTGCATAATTAGTTAATTTTCAGATTTTCATGTATATCTCAAGTACTAATCATCAAATTTCAATGAAACTTTGTACATATGTGCTCTAGGACAATGTACAAATATGATCAGTTTTGGATTAAAATTTGTTCATATTAATTCCCTAATTAGCATAATAATTCATAATTTTTTGGTTCTGATCACATTTCAATGAAACTTGGTATATTGATGGTATGTTACATTGCGCAGACCTTATTAGTTTTACACTCAAATCTGTTCATTTTAATTTTCTGATTTGCATAATTAGTTTTCAGCTTTTCCATCAATATCTCAAGTACAAATTTTGAATTAATTTTTACTGTGTCTCTAATACTCTTGGCACACGGGAGTTTTTTCTAAGCTTTCTTTGATAATGTATTGAGTTTTGTATTTTCCCACCATTGTGATGAGTTGTATTCTCACATTGTCTTGCAGTTTATAACAGCTTTCTATAATAAGCCTCTTTTCACACAGAAATGTCAGTACATTTAAAAAAAACAAAAACATTTAAACCCACTCTGTTGTGTTGGTTTAACAACAGATTCTTTGTAATGTTTCATAAAAATACAGTATTTTACCAAATCCATGTTGACCTCGCTTTTTAGTTATTAATGCTTCTAAAATAATTCGATAAATGTAAAAAACAATATTTGCTGTCTGCATCAGAAAGAGACTGGAAAATCGTGTTCAATATATTTGACAATTAGTCAATACATTCCATTTGTTACTCTAAGTTACATTCACAATTGCAGTGTTTTATTTGACATCGTGTGAAAATACATGACTGTTATCAGGTGTATATAAATTTGTTGTTGTCGTCTCTGTGATTGCATTCATTACTGATTTCATACACTTGTATAGTGTTATATTCATGTCAGTAGCAGTACTAATTCAGCCTGTTGCACGCAATGCATTATATTTGCCACAGTCAATTTGATACACTAACTATGTTAGCAATTGTAAAATGTTTTTATCTCTCTGATGTCTAATCTTGATTGCCATAGATATATTCTTGCATATATTGTATTTTCTTTATTAGTAGCACATGTGAATTCGTAAATTACAGAAGTAATGATTCAGTATAATCAGTATTCATTTTTTTAACGATTCAGTGCTTACATTTCTGAAAAGTGTCTTGATTGCAGAGCCATCATGTGACTTTTGAACTACTTGGGTCAAAACATTGTGTGTCCTACAATAGTAAAATGCTAAAATGTTTTTCTGTAAATGTGGTGGAAATAAAATAATCTGCCATAAATAGTTTGACATCCTGTGTATTGTGTGATGTAAATAACATTTTAAGGTTTTTGTTGGATGCAAATGTTTCCCATGATGCAATATCCAATACTCGGGGTGAAAATGTTCGAAAATCGCACATTTCTGTGTTCATGTTACTGAGAATTTTCATGTGTTAACAGTTGAATCATCAGTTTTGTTTGGGTTTTTGTTGGAATTTTAGAGGGAAAAAAAGGGAAAATTTTCCTGAAAAATCAAATACAAAAATACATATAAAAATGTATGTGTGCAGCAAATCCTCCGAGCCTTAATGATTAATTACATATAAATTTATAGGCAAAATATATGTATGCATACCTTCATGAAAAAAACGGTAGAAATTTGCTTTCAAAAATATGTTTAGCCAAAAAAAAAATCCTGGTCCAAAAAATACATTTTTTCTTACTTTATAGCCTTATACGCTATACAGTACATAATAAATAAGCTTTAATGATGAGATGCTGAGCTATTTTCACATTCTTTCTATTTCCAGGTGTAATGATAAAAAGTACCCAGGAAAGCTACCAACAACCAGCGTCATTGTCGTATTTCACAATGAAGCCTGGAGTACGTTACTCAGAACAACACATAGTATTATTAATCGTTCACCGCGGGAACTTTTAATGGAAGTCATTTTAGTAGATGATTGTAGCACTCAGGGTGAGTACAGTTACCAGCAGTATATAAGACTACAACTAAGTATATTTATGATACACTAAGTTATACTTACAATGCAACACAACTAGAGATTTTCACTCAGTTATTTCATTGTTCTGCTTTATTATTCTAGAACATTTGAAAAAACCGTTAGATGATTATGTTGCCAAATTACCTGTACCAGTGCATGTAGAAAGGATGGAAGTGCGATCTGGTCTGATACGATCGCGTCTTCGTGGAGGATCGGTTGCCAAAGGAGATGTACTGACATATCTGGATTCACATTGTGAATGTACAGAAGGATGGTTAGAACCGCTTGTATCAAGGATCGGTGATGACAGGTATGATGTCATAATTATGATAGCTAGCGGGACCAATCATGATGTGTTTGACTTTGTTTGAATTGACCTCTGTGCATCTATGCTTGAGTGTGTGTGTCTTTTCATGCTTCCATTCAGA